ATACTGAAGAGGAAGAGAACCGCTTAGATGAAATCGCCGACAAAGTCAAAGATTTGGAGCAGTCCATCGATGAACTTCTCCCTGGTGTTGGCATAGTGGACGAAACCTTCATCGAAGAATACCGCAGATCCAAGTCCGTGGTCATGAGCACGCAGCCTGGCCACAAAATGTCTTCTAGGGTATCCAGGGACATGCCAGGGCCCACAGAGATGGATAGTCAAGTCATTCACCAGACACAGTTTCCCGGGTCGTCAAGGCTTACTGACCCAAGGGATCATTCGCCGCCGCCGTTTCCCCGGAGTCGACCGCCAGTTCCCAGGAGTGTGAAATCCGTTGCACCAAGTGCAAAGTCCCGTCGACGCGATGAGTTCGAAGATGAATTCTTCGATGACATTGAAGACGATTACGGTGCATTCAACCCTCCTCCGCCACCTGCGTCAAGGCCAACACCAAATCGGAAGAGCCCTCCCAAGAAAGCGGGCCTTCGTGCCCAGGACATGTCCAGCGACTACGGCGATGATGCAGACGCGGACATGCTTGCACTGGCTCATGACTTCGAGCTCCGGCAGTCATCATCTGCCGAAACAACGAGAGGCCGCAGCGCACTGGCTTCGACGTCGGGCAATGCTGTTCAGCCTTCGAAGTCAGTCGAACCTCTGAAGAAGAGAGAGCCTTCTAAAGCGAAGTTGTCAATGCCACCGGAGCTGATGAAACATCCCTGGTCAGCAGACGTGAGGAAGGCTTTGAAAGACAGATTCAGGATGAGAGGGTTTCGTTCTAATCAGCTTGAGGCCATCAATGCTACACTCGGAGGCGAAGACGCTTTTGTGTTGATGCCAACCGGAGGCGGCAAATCCCTTTGCTACCAACTTCCAGCCATTGTTACTAGCGGAAAGACGAGGGGAATTACGATTGTCGTTTCCCCTCTGCTTAGTCTTATGCAAGACCAGGTGGATCACATGTCAGCTGTCAATATCCAAGCTGTTTCGCTCAATGGCGAGACGAGTTCTCAGAAGCGAAGTCAGATTTTCTCTTCCTTCAAAGAGAGGAGTCCGGAGCTCTACATTCAGTTGCTCTACGTCACGCCGGAGATGCTGAATAACAGTGACAACTTCATGAGGGCCCTAACCAGTCTTTACTCCAACAAGCGGCTTGCACGTATCGTAATTGACGAGGCACATTGTGTCAGTCAATGGGGTCACGACTTTCGACCAGACTACAAGGCACTAGGAAAACTTCGCAACCATTTTCCTACTGTCCCCATCATTGCACTTACGGCGACAGCGACTCAGAACGTCATCGTTGACATTAAGCATAATCTAGGCATGGACAGCTGCCAGGTTTTTAGTCAGAGCTTCAATCGCCCGAATCTCACGTATGAGGTTCGACGGAAAGAGAAGGAGCTGATCCAGAAGATCGCTGATTTGATTATGTCCAAGTACGACGGACAATGTGGAATTATCTACACTTTGTCAAGGAAAACTGCAGAGCAAGTCGCCGAGAAGCTGCGTTCTCAGTATGGCGTCAAAGCAAGTCACTACCACGCGCAGATGACTCCTGAAGACAGAATCAAAGTACAGAGAGAATGGCAAGCGGATAGGATCCATGTTGTTGTAGCGACAATCGCATTCGGCATGGGCATTGATAAGCCTGACGTCCGTTTCGTTATTCACCATTCGATTCCCAAGAGTTTGGAAGGCTACTACCAAGAGACAGGGCGCGCTGGCAGAGACGGCAATCCTTCGGACTGCATTCTATATTTTGGTTATCAGGATGTAGCCACATTGAAGAAGATGATTTCGCAGGGCGAAGGAAGCGAGGCACAGAAAGAACGGCAAAGAATGATGCTCAATCGAGTCACTGCATTCTGCGACAACCGGGAAGACTGTCGCCGCGTTGAGATTCTTCGCTACTTTGGCGAACAGTTCAACTCTGAAGAGTGCGATAAGACCTGCGACAACTGTCGAGCAGGCGCTGTCTTTGAGCAGCAAGACTTCTCTGAACTTGCCGTTGGAGCTATACAGACCATCCAACTTCACGAACGCCTGACTATAAATCAGTGCAGTGAAATCCTGATGGGGAAGAAGTACCAAAAGACTATTGATCCGCATCCTGACGATCCTCATGGTATCGCAAAGGGGATGAAGAAGCATGAACTCGAACGCATCATCGATAGACTTACAGCTGAGGAGGCCCTAGAGGAGGATAATGTGGTGAACAAGAGGGCCGGTATTGCGATCCAGTATCTCATCGTAAGTTGCTCTGCTGCTTAAATTTGCCTCTGTTCAGTAAACCTAACACGTTCATAGCCTGGTCGCAACGCCCACTTGTTTCTCAATGGCCGCCGCAAACTATTGTTATCAGTCCAGGTTTCTGATAGGAATAGGGAACCATTGGCACCAAAACCCAAAAAGCGGACCCAAAAGAACAAGAAGAACGAAGAGCAGGATCTGGATGAAGAACCGCCGAGAAGACGCCTGCCACCTTCGACCAACGTCTCTTCGCCAGCGCAAGCTCGAAGAACGCAAGACAAGAGGTCAAAGGGCAAGTCCCTTGCGACCGTTATCGATTCTGACGAGGAAGACGAAGTGCTACGGCAAGAGATGGAAGAGCAAAGTCTTTCGCTACACGCAAATGGCTACATCAAGGACGGCTTTGTTATGTCCGACAACGAATCCGACGACGGATTCGAGCCACTACCCCCACCTCGTAAACGTGGAAATGCCTCCAAGCCGGTTGGGCCCCGTATCGAGGAGGACATACGACTGGGGGCACTTGACGAATTGCATCAAGACGTAGTCCACAATTTCGTCCAGGAGGCCAAGCAGCTCGAAGAGTCTCTGCGAAATTCGCAAGGGCTCCGAAAACCTCTCTTTTCCGAGAAGAGTTTTCAAGAAATGGCTATCCGGTGGACAGAGACTCTCCCTCATATGCGACAAATTTCGGGGATCGAGCCAGAAAAGGTGGATAAGTTTGGCAGCAAATTTGTGCCCCTAATCAAGCGTTTTCACAGCAATTACAAGGCAATGCTCAGCTTTGCGGACGAAGACGAAGACATGGAAGCTGAAGAGCAGAGTATCGTCGATTTGATCAGCTCCGACGAGGACGAAGATATGGATGGCGAGGAAGAGGAGGAGGAGGAATCCTCGAAGTACTTTAGTAGTGGACCGCCTCCCCTCGCGCCTTCTGTTCAGGAGTGGAACCAGCGGATGAAGGAACTAGACACGGCGCCTCCGAGCCGAGCCTCGTCGTCAACTTCGACGAGGGGGCGTGGTGGTGCTCGAGGCGGTCGGAGATCAGGGGGTCGCAAGGGCTCCAGCTCATGGGCAAGCAAGAAGCAAGGAGGCGGCGTCACCAAGAAGAAGGCTTCTGGCGGGGCAAATAGAAGAAGCAGCGGCGGGACATCATCAGCTTCGAGAAACAGCGCCGTGACCAGCTACTTCTCCAAGGGAAAGAGAGGTGGCGGCGGTGGCGGCAGCGGTATCGGGCTGATGCCACACTGAGGAGCCGATGAGAAGGGCTAGCACATGATATATGTGTTGGTATGGAACTAGACATACCTAAAGGGATACGACGGACGAGAAGAACATCAAACATGGCTGGGGTCCAGGAACACAAAACACATGCTCCACTGCATTTGATAAGTAAACATTCATGAGGCAAGGGGAAAACGGTCGTGACAAGTTGGGGGAGAAGAAGTTTTATACCTTTCATGTCTCCGGGCGGCGGCGGAGCAAGCGATTCCGCATGATGATGGTGTTACGGGCGGGCGTCGACCGGTCTACAAGCATTTTCTCAGGCGCAGCACAGGCATATTTTGGCATTTTAATGTTGACCATGAATGATTAAGGCATATATTTCTCTGTCGTACTCAAGATGCTCCCCACTGTCCACAGCCATCTGGAAAGATTGGGCCTGGTGTTGATGTCGTCTTCCTGCATGAACATGATACAGACAAGCGCTAGGTTTTACTCGGTTTCAATTCAGCCATGGGGTACGAGAGCGACTTGGACTCGAAAATACGAATTATCAATTTGCGTCTTTTCGCGCAGCTAGCTATCTAAACTCTTCCTCTACGCAACGTCTCCTGCCCTCCGGCCCATACTATCATTCCCGTGAGATATCAGTGTCATGAGGGGTATAAAGTCCGTTCGCGAGGTCCGATCCATGCGTTGCAATACAAGTGGTGTCTTTTGATTTGTTTGTTTTTGAGGGTATAGCCTCGCGTTCATAGGAGCGCGATTTGGGATTCCCGTGCAGTGTATCGTGACGGTGATGGCTTACGATTATATTGGACCTTCCCAAATTCGTCCGAAACCAGACTCCATGTTCCCCCTCCTGGTATAATACTTAAAAGACCGTCAGGCAGGTATCTTCCTGCCCAAGATTGAAAACTCAAACGCCCCTCGACGGATCCTAATCCGACGCCTCGCCATAAAGCAAATAAAGTAGGATCAATCAGTGGCACTGCCGTGAAAGAGGGTATTCGAATATGTACAAAATTCAATATCGTGCTGTGATGACAATCCGGCCGAGACAAAGCAAGTCGAAAAAGACTCAAGCCTTGTCCACAGTTTCTGCCATTCGTGCTTCGTCAAGTCCGCCAGCGGGGTTTGCCTGTCACCTCAGCTACCGCCTCGGTTTGCTGCGTAATTGTTGCCAACGGAGAACTAAAAACCCTCCTTTGCCTGGATAAAAGAGACTCCTAACCCCTCCATCGAGGCTTCTGGCTAGAGGTGCTTTTAGACAACTCTGGAAGAGTCTTGCGTGTAGTATTTCGCGAGACAGATCGGGTTGGAGGGGTTTCCATGCCACCTGTCGTACTGCTTGCTTTGAGTTGTGGCAATTGGCTAGTTCGACGCGTCGATGCCAACGAGCTTGCAGGACGACTTGGTACAGCTCTGTCGGCAAATGAGTGAAGCTTGGGTGGTTGCAGAGAGGCGCGTCGGCTGGACTGAGACTCGAGACCGGACGTAGAGACAGATGAAGACAAACGCGGCTTAGAGAGTGTCTGCTGAGAGTACGGGCCAGGTGAGGCTAGACGCTCTCGGAAAGACAACTTCGATGGGGCTCTCTTCGTAGGTGTGTCCTCGGGCATGGGTGACGCGGATGACTCTCGGGTCAGGGGGCTCCGAAGGGTTGGCAATCTCGTACCACCGGGCGATGAAGATCGCGGGGTCAAAGAGGATGATGGACGGGCGGCCGGCGATGTCTTCTTGGCGTAGGGGCTGGGACAGGTGAGGGTCAAGGGCTTGAAGTTGTGACCGATACCAACATCCGTAGTGTTGGTCGAACCATTCCACCTGGGCCGATTAGGTTGCGTGGAAGCAGGTCTGGGGATATTGCCTGCAGATGGAGTGCCAAGCCTTGAAGTCATGTTTGACAGTCGAGGTACCAAGGGCTTGCGAGGCAGTTGGGAGGAAGGTGTTGGTAGTGACGACTGTCGTCTTCCTGATGGCTGCGGCAAGTGACTGTTGGTGCTCACAGAGCGGTTCTTGGCCATCTTGTTCCTGGGAGTGACTGGCTCTAACCCGAGACTTGACATGATTACCGAGGAAGGAGGGGAGCTGCCGGGAGTATCACGGCCACTACCAATCGTGGACCGATCATTCGACAGCATGCTGGAGATAGAATCCCTCAACTGCTGGCCTCTAGTATCCACCTGAACTTCGTCCACAACCACGTCCATCTCTCTCATCTCGTCCTTGATCGATTCCCATTTTGACTGCATCTCGGCATGCAAACGGAGAATTTCGCCATTGACAGTTAAGCGGTCCTTAACACCCTTGTCGATGATGGCCAAAACTCGCTCGATAGCTGGGCCATAATGCGTCTTCTTGGCGTCGTAACTCTCGATCTTTTTGATCATTGTCGGTGGGTTGCTCAGATGCATGCCGGTGTCGACGGCTTCCCTTAGCTTGATCATCGATCTCTCAACTGACTCGATCATCTTTTGGGCCTGTCTTCCCGCTCCGCGAAAGACAATGACCCATCGGTCCTCACCCAGCTCCTTGCGCAGTGATTCGGCATCCTTTTCCAGCTTTTTGTAACTGCCATCGAGACCTGTGCGTCGCATATCCAATTCCTCACAAGCAGTTGGAAAGGATTTCTCGGCTCGGGCAGCGAACACCGCGAGCCGCATAGGAAGGAAGTCTAGCGATGCGCGCAAGGGTTGCATCCGCGCGAAAAGGGCCAGAAGACTAGAATCATCTTGTGACAGAGTGGGTGTAGGCGTTCCTGGAGACGTTGATCCAGGACTGAGCGGAAGACCAGGTAGGCTGAAGCGGTTTTGCGCTTGCATCCTGGCAACGGGAGGAGGAGTATCCTCCACAATGTTCTCGAGGTCTCCGATATCGACGCCGTCGCCGCCTGCGGCAGCCATCAAAGACTTGTGGCGTCTTTCTTCCATCTCGAAGACCAGACGGCTCAGTTCGTCCATTTCGCTTTGGATATCTCCCAGAACACTGTTCCACAATTCCTCCCACTCCATTGCGATTTCGACTTGCCCTTTTACAGTATTGAGTGCTGCTTTGATGTTGGCCCACTCTTCGATGATGGACTCCATTTGGGAGACGGCGCGATGAAGATCTTCGGGCGGAACGTCGGCAATGTCTTCGCGACCTTGCAATTCTTCGATAGCACCGACGTATACTTTAATCAATTTCTCGAAGCGATGTATGGCGTTTTCGACTTCTTCGTATCCTTCGCGACCTCCTGCCGCAGCCCACTCAACGTCATCGTCGCTATCCAGACCACCAATAACCTCTGACGCCTTGTAGATCCAACTTCTAATTTGCTCCGCGGCGTTGATCAAAGCTTTCGATGCGACCTGTGCTGTCGGGATGGCAGACACCTTGCTGGACAAGGACTCCGCATCAGGAAGCTGAAGTGATGTTAGTTGAGCTAGTTGATTGGCGAAAGATGCGCGGGATAGCGTGTAAATGGAACCGGGTCGCTGATGACCGGGAGTAAAGTATGACGCAAGATCAGGTGTGAACTCGACCGCTGGCACCGGCGGTGTATCTTTCGGAGGTGGAGGTGGTGGTTGATCGGAGGCAGGAAGGGCACCATTGCGTTCGAGATGCTCTCGTCTAGTCTCAAGTTGTACCTTGGTACCGTTCCCATTGGTGTGGTCAGGCAGACGGTATTTGTGTGTCTCCATGTCCAAGGGCGCCGTTGTTATGATCTCGGGTAGGACGAGAGACGCGCCCGGGGCAACGTCTGGCGAGGATGACAAAAACCAAGTGTTGGGGTCTTCTCTTGAAGCAGTAGAAGATGCAGTCTGTGGTCTCGGGTCGTCGGACGATGTAAAGCCCTTCCAAGGGCGGCCGCGTCGATTAATTTTCGATTCGACGGAACTCGCCTTATGGTTCTCGTCTATCAAGCGAATCTGGTCTTCAGGCAGGCGCCCAACTTGGTCTTGTTGAAGTAGTTGGTCTGTTGACTTCTTGTGCGAGGTAAAGCCGAGCGCTTTCAATCGGGCGGCTAGGTTGGGTGAGGGTTTGCGAGTTTGTTTTGTCTTATTCGTTGTAGGGGAACCTGCTGGTGTGGTATTTGTGGATTTTGAAGTTGTTGTGGTATCACTTGTCGGGCGTGAGGACGATTTGTTTTCGGTGGTGTCAATGGTGTTGTTGTTTACAACCTGGGGCTGCGGGTTTAGCTGGAAAAGTTGCGGGCTGGAGACGTCAGAGAAGCCAAGGGTCAAGTGGTCTGCTGTAGTAGTGGCTTCCTGGGCCTGCACCTGGTCCTCCGTGTGCAGCAAGCGCTGTGGTTGGTGGCTGGAACACGAGTCTCCAGAGGGGACAACGGCACAAGAAATTGTATTTGTGTTGTTGCAGCTGGCCTCTGCCTCTGCAACCGATCCTTCCGCGGCTGACATTTGTTCTTAGTGTTTCGTGGGCAAACCTTCAATTGAGGTGACAGCCCTTTCGCGTTTTTCTGTCCTTGAATCCAACGCAGGCCCCGCGTACCTCTGTAGAGACAATCGCCTCTTGCAGTTAATTCTGCTGCAGTACGGTACGTGGCCAGTCGGAGACGGATGACAACGAGAGCACGACTGAGCTGGCTCGTGGATAGGCTGGGTCCGGTGGTCCTGAGCTCGAGTGATAACTGGGTCGAGCAGACTGATCCTCGCCGGGTTCAGTTGGGTCACCTGCGGGTTGTCGAATGAGGAGGATCGATGAGCGGCGCTGGAATGCTAGGATTGCTGGATGCCTGGGCGAACTCGTCAAGCGCACTGTTGTCAGTGCCTTAGTCGGTGGGGTACGTCGCAGCATTCGGCGAGCAGGGAGTCTGGGGGAGCCGGCGAACGGGAATGCAATCGTTACTGGAGGCAAAAGGCATACGCCGCAGTATTAGGTATGGGAGTGCAGACGCCGGTCGGTACTGGTGTGGTTCTTTGTTGGGCGCCCACGCGATTGGGCTGGGATGCAGAGGCAATTCGTCAAACAAAGCGCCGAAGATTTGGATGGATTGCCTAGCGCAGCATCGGAAAGGTAAGGGTGAGAAAGGTACGTAGGGGAGATAAACGGGTTTCGCAAGACCTCGGAAGTTTGGAAACCAGCAGGATGTCAATTCAGTCTCTGGCTTAATTGGCGTTCGTTCATTGCTCGGATCGGTCGCATGCGATTATGCTGGGTTGGTCCTTGCTCTGGCGCAAGTAGGAGTAGGACTAATGTAGGCGAGGAGTCGCAAAGAGCGATCAAGGAGTGACGAAGTGATGAATTCAAAGGCGTCGTGTCTTGTAGGAAAGCGTTCGGGTCGACTGGGTGAATGAGGCAGGAAAGGACAAAGGGAATGGAAGAAGAAGAAGAAGGCGAGAAAGGATTGGGCAGCAGGAATGCTGGAAACAGTGTGTGAGGGAGCGACAACGAAAGTCAAAAAAGTTCTCCGGAGTATTACCTCTGGAGGAGTGTTCGTATTAGTCAAGATGAGGTGGAATAAGGTATGGAAAGAAAGCACTGGCCAGAAATAAGGAAAGAAGGGAAAAAGGAAGGAAGGGAGGAGAAACAATTGCTTTCCGGAGAATGAACTCGAATCGGGGGGTTTTGGGGGGATAATTTGGGAATTTGGGAAGGAAGGTGACGAGAACCTGGGCGATTTGCACAAGATGCGGCAGGCTCGTTTTCTTATCCCTTCACCAACGGCGTCCCGTAAATTGTGATACTTTATTGACTTGCACGAAGCTGCGCAAGCTACATCAAGCTACATCAAGCTACATCAAGCTAGTCTCTACCTTATTCTGGAGCTGAGTCTTTTCCTCATCTCTCTAACCTTACCTCGACTCCGTGACCCATCGTCAAGGTTACACGGAGAATTCAATAGAGCATGGAGCCACAGACCGACTGTAACAGGACGAGACTTGACTCAAGCATCAGCTACAATGCCCATCTGCAGCCTGCCTATACCAGTACGACACATCACAGCAAGCAGTCTTACAGACATGGCATTCAGCCATTGAATACATATATCTTTGTGCGTCGCCATCGTCAACTTTCGACGACTAACACCGTCTGTCCTTCAACCACAGTTACATCGACCCAGGCTTACTTATCTGCCCAGTTGTTGTCGACGCTCGCTCCTTGGCCCCCGGACGATGAAACATCCTTCGACTCCCTGCACACGTCCTTGTTGATTTCCTTCGAAAAGTTTAGCCATTTTCAACAATTCTCGTCTTCGACACAAAAGACGCCCGCATCTATTGAAGCATTCGTCGAGACATGCTTTCCCTTTGTGCTGCAGCAAGGTGGTGGAATTAGCCTTTACTGCAAGCTAACTTCGGACATACCTGTTCATTTTGGTCGGTTTATGCTCACTGCTCAGACAACAAACGAACGGCTCGAGGAATGGGCCATCAGGTACTCCTCTCTAAGTTGCCGCCGACAAACGCACAAGCCCTTCCTCCTTATCCAGCCTGTTTGCTTTTCGAATAAAGTGCCATCAGAGTAACATTTGCTCAGCCGTCAACGTATCAATCAGCGGCCATTCCCCATGCCGCTCACGAACCAGGAGTTCATTGCTGTTAGGGTCTAACACTAGTGCCCTTGCAATTCCCGAGTGGGCCACCACGTTGCTCGAGAAAGTTCTTATTAGAGAGCCTTGACCATATTTCCGCAAGTTACGACGTTGCAGCGGTATCACCACTTGTGGCAGCTGATGTCCTCTTCTCTCGGCTGACCCTGGCCACAGTGGCAGACTTCGTTCCCGGTTCTGGACTGGTCACCCGCTGGCTGGCCGGGAGTCCTGGCTCTTCGGAAGCCCGTGGAAGATTGGATGAGCCGGGGTGACCCTGCGTCGTGGGCCAGCGGATCGGTAGCCGTGGGCCGTAGGGCCTCGATGCTTCGCGCACAGTTCCAGAGACCCGGGCATGTCCTTTTTGCTTTCTCGGCTTGGGCAAGGGCTGTTACATCAACCACGGTTGACTGGTCGATATTTTATATGCACACGCTGCGTTTCAAGAACCAGCAGCACGAACCGTTCGGCGCCTGATGTTTCTCACATGTGCCAGTTCAACAGGCATAGCCGTTGATACGCTGATACTACGTCAGGTAACAGAGCCTGACAAAGACTCACACATTTCGGGACAAGTGTTGTCGGATTGAGCCGTGGCACCAACGGCTAGTGCTGCATAGCATGCTGCATATTAAGACGTCGGGCTTATGCAAGGCACTGGCATTCCTATCAACGGCAATAGGTTGGATGAATGTCTCTCGTCCAATTTTAGAGAACCTTGGATGCACGTCATACCTAGTTCTGCCTGCACAGATTTTTGTTCTCGTGAAGTATGTATGCATCTGTACACAGTACAGTTCGCGGAACGAGGTTGAGGGCAATGCCATTGTTTGCATTGGGAGAGGAGAATGGTAGTGAGTGGAGAGAGTGTCCCCCCCCCCCCCAAGCTGACATAGATTTGTCTGGCGCGATGGCTTGCATATTACTTGCATTACCGGAATCCCCAGGGGCCCAGAATGGAAAATGACAGAAATACAGAAATAGAGATTCTTGCTCTCAGCATAATATACCATATTTGAAGGCAAAAAGCAGAACAAAAAAGGGTAAGGGCAAGGCACAAGAACGCACTTTTTCATCTAAGACTCTTCAAGGCATCATATATCTTGCACGTCCCGAGGCCACAGCGAGCTTGCAGAAGTTCTTCTCGGAACCTATCAATCCACCTGCTCGGACAGTCAAGACGTTGAGACATTGACAAAAGGTCGGCCAGCAAACGGATATCGCTTCTGCGGAACAGAGTCAAGCATGGGGCAATGATCTAGAGTCTGGCGGGAATGGCCGGGCCGCGACACGGATAGGGCAAGAGGCAGAAGTGTATGGCCCTTGGCGCCATGTGGCTGTGGTTGCGCAATAATTAACGACCATGTTTGATCCGGTTTCTCTTGCATTCTGGGGGGTAAACCCTTAGCATGTTCGCCGACCAACCAGTGAGGCAGTTGACAGTGATGCGGGAGGGAGCCCGTGTTTGGGATTGACGAACAAAGAGGGGGGATTTGTTGGTCTGGTTCATGTCGATATCGGGAAACACGGAGGCTTTTGGCGGAATGAGCTTACCCACTCATGCTTTGTTGGCCGGACAAGCTGCTGCCAGCTGGACATTGTTTAAGATTTGTGCCCCTGAAAATGTCATCACCACGGGAATCCGGCTTGCAATAAGGTAGAGGGACGGGACAATGAGCTCAACGACAGCTTGAGATGCAGGAGGGCTGATGTTCCTCATGCCTAAGGTGATAGCTTTGCCATATAGTTAGGAGAAAAGTGTTGAGCTGCTCGTTCTGCGCATCTTTCCGCAGCCTGGCCATTTACGCGTTGCTGAGTCGATGTTTATGAGTGCCCCTTGAGAATATCTGGCTGAGATTCAGCGGTCATTTGCTTCGCTCTTAGCGCATCCTGATGAGTTTGTGGCGGAATAAGTAGTCGGCGATCCCCTCTGCCCTAGTGTACGGATACCTTAGTGAGGAACACTGAAAGTTGGAGAAGCTGCCGATAATACCAATCGTTCTTTCGGGTACCTACGCTAGCTACCCACCTTCAGGTCCAGTTGTGGAAACCAACTTGTTCCGTTCTTCTTTGTAATACCTCATCCGTTCGTACCTGTCCGAGGTGCTGGTTTCTTTTTTGAACTGAAGAAGAGCCAACCAGCCGTTTGGC